AATCTTTGGCCCAATCTTAGCAGCGAACACATGCCGAGTCGCACCAGTTTCCTACCGGTGCAGCGCTTCCGGTCGCACTGTTTCAGGTCCCACATCCTCACCACAATGGCCTCACCATCACCTTCACTATCATCGGTGTCTTCACTGTCAGTGTGTTGATGTGTGTACACGACATCACTGTCATGGGTCTCTTGCAACTCACGGCAGTCATACTTATGATTCGGTCTATGATTGTCGGACATGTGGTATATGTTGGCTAACAGTTGCTTAACTGTAAACACAATTGACAACACATGCAGTGATTGTTATTTGGATATGAAATGCCTTCGCTTTGCTTTGCTGTAAATCACTGCAAACTGTGCGCACACTTCACACATTGGCAATGGTTTTGCACATATCGTATCATATGATTGCTATGATTGCACACATAAATGATGACCTCTTGAGAGCACATCGGGAGGCACACAGTGGTCAACACTGACACCACACCACTCACCCGATATATAGGTGATGATAATGTGGTCAAGAGTGCAGTGATGGCATGGCATCGGACACTCTATTGACATAGACTTGTGGTGGTGAAACGCTCACTTGTGACCACCACTGGCCCACTGGTGCCCATTGAGTAGAGGTCTATATTTATGGATAGATTCAATGAATAGAGTGATAGACTTGTGTTGACTATTGTAATGATTGTAATGTAATGTCGTATCGAGTGCTCACTGACTGTACTGTATGTGTGAATGAAGTAAATATATATAACCTAACCTAACCTAACCTAACCTAACCTAACCTAACCTAACCTAACCTAACCTAACCTAACCTAACCTAACCTAACCTAACCTAACCTGTACTTTATTTTCAAATTTGGTGCCTAATTATATGCGCATGTTCATTCTGAAATGAGTCATTTGTGCGATTCCTATGAATTGGTCAAACTTCACGAGAATAGCCATCTTCTCAATGCCTGTGCTCTTCTCCTCAACAGTGAATGGCCTCGAAGGTAGTCCTCTAACTATCTTTCATTTGATTCACTTCTCACTACCATTTGTCTCGCTCTCTGCGTTCAGTCTGACGGCTCGTCTCCACTCTCTGGGCAAGTCTTGCGATGAACTGCCCGTCTCTCTGGTGGTGGTCTCGGCCACGGACGGTGTGTTGGGTCACGTGAGGGTCAAACGCGAGCCCTCACTCGTGGCCACTGCTGCGATCGAGTCATTGGTGGTTCGGGACAGTCATCGTCGTCTCGGTGTGGGCTCGTGGATCATGAGACGCACCGAACACCTGATCCGCGTCATGGCATTCAAGCGAATCCTGTTGACCACAACCGAGTCGTGCGCTTTCTATACAAGTCTTGGATTCAGTGTTTGTCTCACAAATGGTACACCATTTGAGTCGATCGATGCACACAACCAGTCGACCACTCGTACGACAAATGCCGTCCACTCCACTGTTCGCAAACAAGAATCCTCATTGTCACCCTCACGGCAACCCCTACCTCCACTCCCACCTCCACCTCCACCCCCATTATTATGCTCGCTTCGTATGCCTTTAAAGAAAGTATTAATGTTTAAAGACATTGCCATTGATTAGTGACTGCCTATGACATAACAAATGACTGCCTTTTCATTCTTATAACTTACTGTACAGTAGAGTACAGTAGAGTACAGTATGTCATAAGATTTTATTTAATTCAAATGTTTGTCCACAATATTTCATATGATATCTCGCTGTACAGTAACCTTATTGGTATACTTAATGATAGTAACAGTGCTTTGAATGAAATCTATTGATTTTAATGGTAATTAGTATTTAAATATATCGTGTATTTGCAACAAATTTACATCAATTGAGTAATCGATTGAATGAAGTAATTATAATTAACAACAATTAGTACAATAAAACTAAATTAAGTTCTAAGAGTTCGATGAAGAAGTGGATGATGAGGAAGGGGTCGGTGTTTTGCATCCGGCGCTAGACGTCTGCGAACTCTTCGAGTCTCTCTTCAACGACTCGATGTACTCCTCCTGCGATTGTGCCAACACTTTGGCCAATATGTCGTCCTCTGTCCAGTCCTTCAGTCCTGTCGTGTAATGCAATCACAATCACAATGAGAGGCAATGCGTTGACGAGTTTGTGAGTCTGTGCCCAACACTTACCGAACACTTGTGGCGGCAACTGATGCATGAAAGACGCCGTTTCCATAACACTGAACTCCTTGTGATTAGGCATCTGATGCACAATCCGCTCATTGGTTCCATTGGTTCCACTGCCGGACGCCTTGGGACTGGAGCGCGGACTCAACCCATTGGGACTCTTGGAGCCGTCGAGTGTGGCGGCAGTGGTGCCGGTGTTGGTGCCGGTGGTGGTGGACGTGGCGGAGGCCGACTTCTTCATGGTCTTCGAGCGCATCTCATTCTCCTTCAACCACTCGACATAAGACTCGCGAGCGATCTGCTCCTCAATGGCCTCATTGGTGGCCTCCCAGTCCGTGGCGCGGATCTTGTCCTCGAGCATCGCCTGTTCGAGCTGTTGCTGCTCTGAGATGTGCAGCGCTTTCTCCATCAGACTCTTGTCAGCGAAGCCGGGCTTAAATGCGGGCAAACCTAAGCCCAGACCTATGGTGGCCTTCTGGGTGTTGACTATGGAGTTGTAGTGTATGTTCTTGTGGTAACTCAAGCGGATGGGCTCGTTGTCCGTCTGGTGGCAGCCCTGGAATATATTGATGGGTTCGCAGCCGTAGTGATACACTTCGATGGGCCGGTTGAAGATCTCACTCATGGCCTGCATCTCAATGTGATTGCCGTGAATGTGATTCAGTCGCTTGCGCTCTATGTATGCGTTGAAGTCTTCCGTCACGTATTGCGAGAAGTAATCGCCGTTTTTGGCCTAATATTACCACAAAAACAAGTCAAATGAGTGATAGTTATAGTGTTATAGTGTTATAGTGTTAGAGTGTTATAGTGTTATAGTGTTATAGTTTGATGCATTCATAACTGTAAGCATCCCATCCATACATCCCATCCATACATACCATATAATCCATACATAGCTTCCTAACCGAAGCGTGCATTTCTTGGTCACCATATATTTGATCCGCTATTCATTAGAAACAGACAATGAGTACTACATCCACATCACATCACTAGACAATAACACTGACCGACAGCCCGGAACAGACAGGCGCCGTCCTCTCCCATCTGTTTGATGACAAACGCATTCTTCTTCTTGAGTTGTTTGGCGAACGCCCTCTCCTTCTCATCCCATTCCTCTTTGGACCACATCTGCGACGACTTCTCGTCGTATTCGTCGCCACTGTTGTATCCGTTGGCGGACTCACTGGTGACGGACTCGTGACCACTGGTCGCCACTTCGTGAGCACTGGTGTCGCCACACCTGTCCCTGTCTTGGGATGTGTCGGGCTGTCTCTGGCCGTCCACTTCGACCACCACATCACTGGCTACAGAGCTGTTCAGTGCTGTCAGCCCTCCCTTACCTTTCCTGCGAAGGCGTCGCTTCGAGAGGGGCGGCCCCGAGTCGGGCGGTTCCGAGTCGTTGGCACTCCTCTTGTCTTCATTCCTCTGACCACTCATTCCTGTCCATCGACTGCTGGTCTGAGGCGAGTGGCCTCTACTGTGACCGAAGTTGGGGTACGAGTGCTCATAGCCTACGCCCACATTCAGCCCTTCCGTGTCCACCGATTCCTCACTCGAAGACTTGTTGTTTTGCTTCTTCTTCGGCAATATAGTCATCGCTGAGACAATCAATTCGCACCACTTATTAGGATATCAATTGGATATGTGTTGTCGTAGTCGTAGTCGTAGTGGTAGTGGTGGTGGCAGTGAATGGCTGTACAGTACTAGTGATTGCAGTGATTAGGCATCGATTGTAATGATAATCACTATTATTGTCATATATTTACTTCATTCACACATACAGTACAGTCAGTGAGCACTCGATACGACATTACATTACAATCATTACAATAGTCAACACAAGTCTATCACTCTATTCATTGAATCTATCCATAAATATAGACAGAGACTCAATGTGCACGAGTGGGCCAGTGGTGGTCACAAGTGAGCGTTTCACCACCACAAGTCTATGTGAATAGAGTGTCCGATGCCATGCCATCACTGCACTCTTGACCACATTATCATGACCTATATATCGGGTGAGTGGTGTGGTGTCAGTGTTGACCACTGTGTGCCTCCCGATGTGCTCTCAAGAGGTCATCATTTATGTGTGCAATCATAGCAATCATATGATACGATATGTGCTTCACCATTGCCAATGTGTGAAGTGTGCGCACAGTGCAGCAGTGATTTACAGCAAAGCAAAGCCATAGCCAAGGCATGCAGATATCCAAATAACAATCACTACATGTGTTGTCAATTGTGTTTACAGTTAAGCAACTGTTAGCCAACATATACCACATGTCCGACAATCAAAGACCGAATCATAAGTATGACTGCCGTGAGTTGCAAGAGACCCATGACAGTGATGTCGTGTACACACATCAACACACTGACAGTGAAGACACCGATGATAGTGGTGATGGTGATGGCGATGGTGAAGGTGAAGGTGATGGTGAGGCCATTGTGGTGAGGATGTGGGACCTGAAACAGTGCGACCGGAAGCGCTGCACCGGTAGGAAACTGGTGCGACTCGGCATGTGTTCGCTGCTAAGATTGGGCCAAAGATTCAATGGCCTTATCCTAAGTCCGATGGCCACTCAATGCGTGTCCCCTGAGGACAGGCATATAGTGGTGGAGAAGGGCATAGCAGTGGTGGACTGCTCGTGGAACCGCCTCAACGAAACCCCTTTCCATAAAATGCGTGGAAATCACTTACGACTCCTGCCTTTCCTGTTGGCGGCCAATCCCGTCAACTACGGGATGGCGTCTAAGCTGTCGTGTGTCGAAGCCGTCGCTTCCACTCTCATAATCACGGGCTTCGAGGATACGGCGCAACACTATCTCAACAAATTCAAGTGGGGGTCGGCTTTCACTCCATTGAATCAACAATTATTGGCCGAATACAAGCTCTGTTCCGATTCCACGCAAATGGTGTCCACACAGAACCGGATGATCACTGAAATGCAGACATCCAACCACTTGAACCAACAGAGAAACACCGATTTGCCTCCAATTGAGAGTTCCGACTCAGACTCTTCATGACCATAATTTGCTATTATTACCGGTCATATGAAGTAATGTACAGTATTTCTAATTATTGTAAAAGTTGTTTAATAAGAAAATAAATTGTGTCACAAGTCATGCAACAAATCATGTCTTCATTTGAAGTTGAAGTGCATTCACAATGAATGAGTAGATGTCTGTCAGCTCTTCAATCTGTACAACAATTACAAGAGTTATTATTATCTATCACTTTATATTAAGGTTTACAATGCTATCAAACCATTTTGGCGGTCGGTTTCCCGGCTATAAAAACAATAAAAATGAAAACATTAGTAAGATATAGACCCCAAAAACAAACAAATGCTTAAAATACAGAGTAACACAACAATATGCATACCTCCATGTCCTGCTTTAGTGTCCACTCGGATCATAAGCGGTGTCTTAGCGTTGCTTTCGCCCAATTTGTACTGTAATTGAGCGATGAATTTAAGCGAATGCAAAGGCACCACACGGTCGTCGTGATCGCCTGCAAATACAACCATTATATGGTACGGTATATGCTTCACTTGGGTTCACATACAGTACAGTATAGTCAATATGAGTGAATACCTGTCAGTAATAGAGTGGCCGGATATGGTTGCGGTGGGTCTGGGATTGTATGGAGCGGTGAATATCTAGTGTATACAACAATATACCAATACATTATACGCTACATAATGAACCACCATATGATACACGATTGGCTTACTTGAGAACATTATGGAAGTGTATGGCCTCATCGGGGTTGCCGTAGTCAGAACACCACGCCTGGCCTATAGTTAGGGATTCAAAATTACAGTCATTTACGTCATTTTAATTTGTTTAATCCCTACCAATAGTGAATTTATGGAAGCGCAACATGTCCATCACTCTATTCGTTTGAATATACAGTACCGGTATGTAATGAAATAGAGTACAGTAACATAGACCATGGTCATATAGCTTACCCCACATGACAGATGACACATCCAAACAAGTCGGGCCTCTGATTAGCGACTGCACCCACAAGTAGACCTCCATTACTGCCGCCTTGAATGATGAGTTTGCGGCGAGAGGTGTATTGGTTGTCAATGAGGTGTTGTGCGGCTCCCAAGAAGTCATCGAAGACGTTCTGTTTATGCAATTGTTTTCATTAATTCACAATTCATTATAAATAAATAAACAATTTTATCAAAATGTAGACATTTTGCCAGCAAATGAGTCTCCAATGAATTCAATATTAGTTTATTATCTGTGACAAAGTGTTGAGTAATTCATAAATACCTGTTTTTGCAATTGTTTGCCCGAATCGTGCCATTTCTCGCCGTATTCACCGCCTCCTCTAATGTTAGCCAAAGCGAAGATTCCGTTCAAATTCTTCATTAGGAGAACGCGTTGGTTACTAAACGACGGCTGAATTGATATATTAAATCCTCCATAACCGTACAGTAGACACACATTGTCTCCGTTCAGGACCACGTCTTTGTGGTGAACCTATTCATGGAAATACATTATGTTTTTGCTATTTCTATTAACCAGTGCCGTCACGTCCAGTAAGTATATAAGAAATAGTTTGTGAACAAGTTTCAGCCCTATAGGTCCTCATTCGGTCGTAAACCCCTTCGGGTAATCCGGTACACACGCTCTCGATATGTTATGTGCGGCCCGGTCAAGTTAGGTTAGGTTAGGCTAGGCCCGAGGGCCCGCACATAACATGTCATCCCATATCCCGCTACCTATATGTACTGTAAAACTTTTAAAGTATATCTAGACCTAATAGAACTCAAAAATAAAGTACGGTAAATGATACAGTATAGGGTAATACCGGTAATACAATATAACATAATATTGAAAGCATACCACGAAAAGAGGAATTTTGGTTCCGTCTTTGCTGTCGTAGAAAATCTGTTTCGTCACATATACCGAAGCGTCAAAGTCTCGAACTTTAATCTCCTTGAAAACCGTTGGCTCACCGACAAAGTCAAAGTGATATATAATTCCCGGCGTCAAGAAAGATGTGAAGTAATAAAATATCTCCTTTTGTCGTCGTTTGCCAGAGAATCCGGTTATTGAACCGATCGGTACATTCAAATTCTTGACGAGTGACCCGTTTGATAGTAATCTTAATTCGAGGATATTCACCACATCTCGTATATAACAGCTGATGATTACATCGTCGTTGGCGACCGAACACCAGTCCAACACATCTTTAGGGTGCTCTGCAATGAGATCCTCCCAATTATCAATGGATGGCCGGTTCAGGTCGATCTTGACGAGTCGAAAGTTGGGGGCGTTTTTGTTTGTACGCATATAACATATGGGGCCGTCATTCGTCACGTACTCATACTCTGCGCTAAATTCATCTATGATTGCAATTAACTTCAGTTCACAATCGATGGCCACACCATTCAGGTGGCAATAATACCAGAGACAGTTCTGGCAGCTCTCCCTCACATAAACGTGTAAAAACTGACCGCAATCACTAACTGCACATCCACTGCAGTGCAATCAACCAAACCAAACACAATTAGCATTCAATTATGTAGTGAATCACGTATTGTCTGATGACTCACACTCTCCAGTTGGGCTGCTCTTTGAACTGTACCACAAGTGTGTCTTCGCACTGATCGCTGTTAATCCGATGGTAATACAACTTCTGGAATAGATTGGCCGTTGTTTCCGTGCCATCGCTCTTCTCATTGTGATCCGGGTAACACTACAACAATCATATCGTACTGTCAGTACTGAAACTAATGAGTAATAGGCAAAGAGTACCGCATAAAAGAAGCCTTTATTGTCGTGAGTCCACGCGATGGAAGTAAATTTCACTTTCGTTAGCTCTTCGGCACAATCTTCGCCTGTGTTGACACTCCGTATGCGAATGCGAACCCAATCGGAGCCGGAATCGCTTAATCCATAAGCAAACCACAGGCCATCCTCTGAGAAAGAGGTGACACTGAGACTTGTGGTCCCGTCTGCGCTCAACTCATTCGGGTCTAGAAATACGTTGGGTTTCGAGTCCAGCGCTTCCATCACATAAAGAACTGATTGATTCTGAAGACCAGTATTCATATAATAGAAGTAATTGTCTCCGCGTTTGAATGGACACCCGTATCGTTGATAATCCCATAATTGAGTCAATCTAGCAATCAATACCATCATACCATTCACAGTCAAACCAATAGTGCAGTGATATTGTCATCATTACCTGTCTTTGATTTGGTTCCGATCAACACACGACTCAATGTAAGGCATTGTAACGGCGTTCTGGCCATCGATGAAGGCCTTCGTCTCCGAACTGTCCGACTCTTCTAACCAACGATACGGATCACTAACCTATCGTCACAACAGGTATATATCACTGGATTCACTGACCCAAACACCACCAACACATACCTCAATGCCGTGAATCACTTCATTGATGGTCTCGTCTCTTCTGGCTAACGGATACACGAATGTCATGTCGTGGGAAAGGGATCTGATGGCACCAATGGGTGGAAAGGGTGTCAATTGACAGTGAATGGTAGTGTTGGTGCGTGTGGTGACTGTGAGGAGTTGCCTAATGGACCGCTGAAGCAATCGCTGACAATACACTTTGTATCACATATGATATGACAGTAACAGATAATATTGACAATACAGTAATTAACCGTAATTTACAATCAATTACTGTTCAATGTGTTCAATGTGTTCAATGCACACTATTGCTATTATTGACTATAACACAGAGTATGGTTAACGTAATACTGTATTACAGTTACAGTTAACACACTGTTTAACAAATTGCAATTCACAGTACAGGACAATGCAATGTATTACACTGTAATACTATTACAGTACAATCTCTATGACTGTCATAATGTTGTCTATTATTCTATTCTATCATGTACTGATTTTACAGTTACACAGTATGGTACAGTACAGTGTTGTACCCAATACAGCGACTCCTGGTGTTACACGCATTAATAAATACACCACACACCGATTGCAAACTACAATCGGTAATGATACGGTAAGCTATTACAGTGTATGTACTGTACACCGGTCATTTATTTACACAGTATAAGGTGTTTGAAATGATACAAATACATATCTATCGGTACAGTAGCTCAGGTAGTGATAGTGGACAAAACCTTACCTTTTGTCCAATCAAAACATACAGTACAACGGGTATACAGTATAAGAATTTATTGGTTTGAAATCAATTTTAATAAACAATAAGATTATATGTGTTTTTAATTGAAAGCGGTTTTTAATTTGTTGACAAAATTGGTCCTTAAGTTATAATTGAATGATTGAAACATTTCTAAAAAACAAATTCAAATGTTTTATAAGCCATAGAAATGCCGAAACGGTCTAATTATACGGTAATCTGATATCACTTTTTGTTTATTCCATTCAAATGAACGCCAATTTTTTCTTAACTTTTTTGTGACAATTATCGGACAATAAGTTTAATTCTATTAATAGTTTTATATACAAAACATATGAGAATTAATGCAAATTAATATTATTTTAATTTCAATGCCCGTCTCATTGACCGTAACTATTCATTGCATAAAGTCGTGTCCACTCGCGAGCTGTCAAACAAAGACATTATTATTATTAATCTATTATATCATTAATACAATGAGTGGTATGTATGGTATGTATGGTATCCACTGACCAGTCCTGATAGCCTCGGCTTCATTAACCTTCCACTGCTCGGCGACATCGTTGTTGAGCGGGTCGTCCGGATTGGGAGCCGACAGAAGCGCTTGAATTGACAGCAACACCGTTCGGATCTGAAGGGCTGGACTCCACTTATCTTACAATCAATGAATAGCTTAGTGTCAATAGTGAACCCTGCACCCCTGCACCCCCGCCCACCACAGCACTGATACCTTTGAGGATGTCGAGGCAGATTCGGCCCAACTTATCGATGTTCGGGTGATATATTTTGGTCATAAACCGCACTTTCGGTGCAGACATCGGGTACTCTTCGGGCAAAAACAACTCCAGTTTGAAGACTCCGCCTTCGAATGGAGACTATATGACAGACACAACCACTCAGTCAATGGTCACACACAGACATACTCTCATAGGACATACCTCTTCAGGTCCGGCCACCACCACATGGAAATAGCGGGCATTGCTCTCATCAGGAATGGCAGAAATGCCGGGAACTGGTTCTGCCATAAGACGCTGTGTCTCCTAACAGTAATCCAAACAATTGTCATTACCATCACATTATCATCACACCATCATCACTGTCATCGCCCTATTCATCAATACGTACTTTGATTATTCTTCGGGGAAGTGCTGCCATCACTGCTATCTCTTGAGATGTCTGTTCAGTGGATCAGTTGTATTCGTGGTGACAGAGGTGTTCGTGGTGTGGATGTGACTCAATGCAAGTCAAGTGAATGCAAACAAAAACATCAAACCATTCATGAAATGTTCAGCCAATGCAGGGGTCGTCCAATCATTACTCATACTATAACTGCCATCATAACAGTATTACAGTATGTGTCATTGAATACAGTGTGAACTAATATTCTATACTATTATGCTATTCTAACTTATTGAATATATTCTTTATACTGTATTCATACTCATTGCCTATCACATTCAATCATTTATCAATATATCTAGCATATCTAAAAATTTGCTTATTTTTAATCACTATCTACTTTAATTGCTTTACTAGTATACCGTATTACAGTATATAAATTTAGTCTAAAGGGATATTTACCTAGCATAATATTATTATATACAGGTACAATCATTATTGTAATTGTGATTTCGTTTAGTTTAGTCATTAGTTTCTACAAAATATTCTATAAAATATTCTGTACTTTCATTATATTTTAAAATATTTTTACAAGGCTTCAAATTGACGCTTTCAATGTAAAATTTAGTTTAATTTAAAGTTTTATATAATACAACCATTTTTATATATTGTTCACAAATAGTGGATATCCATTGGATCCATTGGTCATCAGGGGCACTATTGCTCTCTTAAAACACATTATACATGTACTAGAAATAGTGAACAGTTAACCACATTATTTATACATTATGTTCAAATCCAGAGAAAGTGAAGTTGTCATATGAAATATCATACATTGTTCGTTAAATTATAATTTTTATTTTACCAGGCTACTAAAATATGTTATGACCTGTGACCTATGCAGTTGCTTAAAATTTTTATAGAAATACTAACCGAAATACTTGAGTAACCAAGGTCTTTAATATTTTAAAATATCACAATTATATGAAAGTTTTAAATATAATTTACTTACTTGTTAACTAAGTAATCTTGTTTAGTTGATTGATTGTATAATAGACTATTATGCTAATTTTTTAAATTAATAACTTTAACCAATTTTGTAATATGAAATTATGCATGTTTTATAATGTACAGTTTTATGATAACATAGTAATAATTATCAAATTGACGCTTTCAATGTAAAATTTAGTTTAATTTAAAGTTTTATATAATACAACCATTTTTATATATTGTTCACAAATAGTGGATATCCATTGGATCCATTGGTCATCAGGGGCACTATTGCTTTCTTAAAACACATTATACATGTACTAGAAATAGTGAACCGTTAACCACATTATTTATACATTATGTTCAAATCCAGAGAAAGTGAAGTTGTCATATGAAATATCATACATTGTTCGTTAAATAATAATTTTTATTTTACCAGGCTACTAAAATATGTTATGACCTGTGACCTATGCAGTTGCTTAAAATTTTTATAGAAATATTAACCGAAATACTTGAGTAACCAAGGTCTTTAATAATTTAAAATATCACAATTATATGAAAGTTTTAAATATAATTTACTTACTTGTTAACTAAGTAATCTCGTTTAGTTGATTGATTGTATAATAGACTATTATGCTAATTTTTTAAATTAATAACTTTAACCAATTTTGTAATATGAAATTATGCATGTTTTATAATGTACAGTTTTATGATAACATAGTAATAATTTATATAAAATGTATTTAACATTCAATGGGCACATGAATTGAGATATNGTTTAGTTGATTGATTGTATAATAGACTATTATGCTAATTTTTTAAATTAATAACTTTAACCAATTTTGTAATATGAAATTATGCATGTTTTATAATGTACAGTTTTATGATAACATAGTAATAATTTATATAAAATGTATTTAACATTCAATGGGCACATGAATTGAGATATGCTTTGATTAAGAATATTCGTAGAGATCAAGATATAAGCCATTGGATGGCGTACAGCGACCACAATACCCACCGCATCGGCCCATCACCACCTGACCTCCCTATTCATCAAATACAGAATTGAGATATGCTTTGATTAAGAATATTCGTAGAGATCAAGATATAAGCCATTGGATGGCGTACAGCGACCACAATACCCACCGCATCGGCCCATCACCACCTGACCTCCCTATTCATCAAATACAGGATAGTTTATCGTTCTGTACAGTATATTACGGTAAATGTCGTGACCATACAGAATGTACGCTCGCGAGCTATACAAACCAACGAAACAAGGGGACCTGATTGGTGGCGCAGAAGCCTCTGTGTGAGTCGGGGCACGGGAAGTTTAACTAAAACTTGACAGGGTGAGGACAATCAATGACCGAATAGCAGTCACCAGCCTCGCCATATGCAATCTGCCAACCACCTTGCTGACTCTCAGTGAAACGGTAATCATTGCCTCCAACACACATCAACTCAATTATAGCACTGTATTGTAATACTGTAGACACGAGTACTCACCGAACACTACCAGTGAAGTAATATTGATGCGAATCCTCTGAAACTGTGTGAGTCCGCCACCAATACGCGCATCACTGGTGGCACAGGTCTCACACTTGTCCCCCTTGTAAGGACACACATCTACTTTAGTGGGCCTAACAGTGAGACATCAAATGAGTAAACTTTGTTGCAATGGAATACAGAAGCATTATATGGAAACACAACCATTCAATAATTGTTACCTTTTATTGTATATCTCACTATAGTTTTCCAGAACCCCGGCCGTCAATGTGAGGTATTCCAAGGGTTTGGCCGATTCCATGCCATAACAATATATGCGAACCATTACTCCCCGGATATAAATTGAATACTCGCCATCACTTCTTGCATTTCCGCGTTTGTATATATCATCACAACTGATAGCAGCGCCTGAATGTCAATACATCACACCATTCATTAGCCATCTATTCATCTCATCTAAAGTACCCAAGTCCTACCTGTCCTACCTGTCCTACCTGTCCTACCTGTTCTACATACTGTATCTGTTCTACATATTTACATAATATTAGATAAAGTGGTTAACAGATAAATCATTATTATCTATTAAGTTCATACATACGAATTATAAACAAATTATTAAACACATAAAAGATAGGACTTGTTAATACTACTAATAATTCATCTTGAAATTATCATATTTTAAAATTAAATTTTCTTAATTTATGCCTATATTATGACTTAATTTATTGCTTATTAACATTTATAGGATGATATCATTATGATTGCAGTATTTTAAGCAACAATTCTAATTTATCTTTGGATTTAAATTACTTTTCACAACATTAAAGTAAAATGATTTTTACAGTAATACGTGTCTAACAGTAAACGAATGCATAAACTGTTTTTCATATCTCTAAATATACTATTAAATTATATTTAGTTCTTAGACGTGAAAAGATTGTTAAGTTCATTCATTTTATATTTTGTAAGAAATTAATAAAACGAGAGAGAAAGAGAGACTATTATAAATAGTTGACATACAACCAGAAACCAACGTAAATGCGGCAGAAACTCCAGAGTTAAATCCAAGCGTTATTGAAAACCCATGAAAAAAAGGAAAATTTAATTTTGTTACATAAAAAGCCGCAACAAAAGGTCATGGTGTTCTACTTGAGCACTATATGAACAGACATTAGAGTTATGTAATAATGAGGACAATAGCACACCGGTTGCCAAGCACTGGGTTTCCAGACGGCTCCCCGTTCACAGTCACCAAAATTGCACACTTTCTTAGACTATCCAAACCGGCAGAGCAATGTGGTCGGGTAGTGGTTGACAAACCAATCGAAAACAAAGAAGCACCCGACCAACAGCTGGGTTGGGAGTGCTAACTGCGCTACTGTCGAGTGAGAAGCGTGAACAATTCCTTGGCCACAACTTTTTGAACACTTTTAATCAAAATAATTTCACTTAATTAATGTTATTATATTTATATTTTAATCCAATTATCAATATTAGTAAAGTATTCCAAATTAATCATCTTAATCACAAACACAATAAACAACTTTGTATGAATACTGACCAAATTTCTATATCTTACAGATAATCTCATAAATTAAATTTAATCACTATTGCTATTCTGTGTCTTGCCCCAGGTTTTGATCGGTGTTCACATCGGTTAAAATATACAGGAATATAAAATTATTGAATATCTGTGTCTACTGAGAATTGTTTGAATATTTCGTTATTTATTGAAATGAACAGATATTTTAATTTCAGATAAATTTTAAATAACTTATTATAGAATATACCAATTACCAGTTATTAAGAGTAACAATAATCTTTTACAGATCATGTAAATATGTGAATAATTTAAATTAAACCCTTTAATTTAATTAAATGAATCTTAATTTTATAACTTAAGAAAATAAATTTAATTATTTAAATCAATTGACAAATTAACAATAATCTTTTACAGATCATGTAAATATGTGAATAATTTAAATTAAACCCTTTAATTTAATTAAATGAATCTTAATTTTATAACTTAAGAAAATAAATTTAATTATTTAAATCAATTGACAAATTCTTTCCAAAATATTTCCACATATTTACCAAAATCAATCAACTAATCAACCAGAAACTCATTGAATTAATCATTTAATACTACGGTATCATTACCGGTATAAATAAATCCTGCTAAGTAATCGCATTATTAGTTTTAAATAAATATGAATAATAATAAAAATGATAAAATTAATTTTGCAGCTCTATGTAAATATTATATAAGGTGTACTAATCTCTATAATTATAAGTAGGTATGTGATTTTAATGCTTCATTACAATAGTGGCTTGACTGAATCAGTCAATGACTGATGATATACTATAATAATTGGGCACAAATCATATTTGTGAGAGTAAACAATTGGGAGAATAACCAAATAGTAAGTTAGTCAATGTACAATATAATACAGTATAATATTATATAATATAATATAATTGCAGAAAAGTGATTATAACCTGAGACCAATCCGATGTTTGCCAAACGAATGGACAGGCATTCATTTTGCAACGCCTTATACTCTTGGGTTTGGTGGACGGGTCACAGAACTGATTGGGAACTACAGTATTAGTCCAATCGAGACATTGAATGAGCCGTGATTTGAAGCCCTTTCCACACGTGACACTACATTGTGACCACACAAACGACTTCCACTGGAATAGACTGCACACACGGAAACAGTGACGAACTTGTGGTGAAGGTTTGGTCTCAGGTATACAGTGTCGGGCATCCGTCTCTTTGGCACAAAACGAGTGTCTGGTTTGTGTGCCGTTCCCACACGACACCGAACATTGGGTCCATTGCGAGTACAGCCACGAGTTGGACGACTCATTGGTCGACACGCCTATCATATTGTCAATGCTGTCAGNGGCACAAAACGAGTGTCTGGTTTGTGTGCCGTTCCCACACGACACCGAACATTGGGTCCATTGCGAGTACAGCCACGAGTTGGACGACTCATTGGTCGACACGCCTATCATATTGTCAATGCTGTCACTCCTGTCTGTTCTATCAGTCCTGTCTGTCCTATCAGTTCTATCACTTCTATCGGTGCTGTGACTGATTGTCGAGACGAATGTGGTCTCAGTACTCATCACTTGTGTCCAAACACTTGATTCAGAAATTGTCGCTAAATTAGTCAATGGATAGAATGGAGTGAAGGGAGTACTGGTCAGCGACGATATGGCTATTGTCGTGGATGTGCTTTCAGATTGGCTATTAATATGAGTGACAGTTATGGCACTGGAAGTGCTTATAGCAGTAGTATTGGTGTTGGTGTTGATTATGGCAGTGGGAGATTGTGTAATATGTGAAGTGATAGTTTGCTGGACCTGTTTGTTGCGTTTCATAGTAATTGTGTAGTGATATATGATGTCTGGAGACGACAAGTTGCCCACACTTAACACCTATTCTCATCGCACAACCGAATGAACCAAATAAACCAAATGATTGTCATTTCACTATCACTATACCTGCGTCTACGTCTAATACAATAGTAATACAAATACTTATATTCACCTCAACATACAATTGTCGCGTCAATGTTCTGCTCGTATTAATCCTTTCAATTGCTTCATTAGATCCGCTATACTCTACAGTTATGCCTCCATATCGTATAGTCTTATGAAACATACTGACCACAAAGTCCCTGTCCAATATTAACTCATATTAATTCAATTCCAAAAATAACATATTTAAATCTGTTTATAGAATTTAATTTATTTGCGCATTTTTCTGATCAGATCTAACATTTATGGGATTTAGTCCGAAAACTTTAAATCAAATTCGGGTTTTAAGTTTTATCATTTTACAGCCATAAGTCAAATTTTTAAATAAATTTATTTTAATTATATCACAGTGCTGTAATCATTATGCTCACCCTAATTAAGACATTATACAAAAAGCTTGTATTAAAAGCACTTTGTTTTACTTATTGTATAAAGTTTAGATCTATCAAAAAACTTTTAGATGTGAAACATTGAAAATCTTGAAAGAACTAAGCTTAATATAATACTGTAGGTTTACAGTACAGTACTGTTATGTGCTGTGCTTACATTCATTATATTTATCAATGATAATCCTTAATATTTAAATATTATATTAAATATTTTAATAATTATTGAGAATATTATGTATTTCATGCATATGATAAAATATAGTTAAGATACAGTAAATATAACTTAATGAAATACAGACCCATTTAATAGATAATTATAATCATGAGATCTGAGTGCTAAGTAGTTGTCATCAGTACTGGACGCTCCGTATTGTAAGATTTCAACATTTGTGGCGCCAATAGGCAACACTACTACTAGATTATAGCCATATCTTACACGATTTAAATGTCCAGAAACCAATTGACAGGTACTATTGTCACCACCACATACTCCACAATTGTCTGGCTTGGCAACACTGCCTAAAATATGGTCACATCCAGCGCTCTATGTTTCATAACCAAATGAAAGTCAAGTTATTATTGATTTTTGATTTATAATTACAAAACATAACAAGTAATAAAACTATTTTGGAACCGCTTATTATGCAAAAATTACCCAGATAGACTATCCGAAAAGCCTAGGTCAAGAAATAATTTATTTCAAATTCATTGATTTATGACCCATTGAGAATTTAGAAATTAATTAAATTTGTTACATTTATAATGAATNCAAATGAAAGTCAAGTTATTATTGATTTTTGATTTATAATTACAAAACATAACAAGTAATAAAACTATTTTGGAACCGCTTATTATGCAAAAATTACCCAGATAGACTATCCGAAAAGCCTAGGTCAAGAAATAATTTATTTCAAATTCATTGATTTATGACCCGTTGAGAATTTAGAAATTAATTAAATTTGTTACATTTATAATGAATAAAGTGTATATTGTACTGTATATGGCAATAAAGAATTAAATGAACAGTAAGTATTCATGTTATTTATATAATAAGGATCATTTTTAGAATCACGAATAGCTATTTGATTGGTTGTTAACTATAATGTTATATCATATATATATTTAACAAACTAACATGTTAGTTTTTAAAGAATATACAGTGATATTTACACATTTAGAGAGAAAAGTTTAGAATTTATATTATTTGGTCAATATAAAAAAGTTTAGAGATTATTATTATTTTTATTAAATATGGTATAGAAATAAACCAATGTAACATTGACAATGTTTAAGTCAAAACTTTGGTTATATTTTTGGGCACTTGACACTAATATTAAAAGGATTCATCGATTCATAAATCCATTTTAGGTGGTTATTGCCTTTTCACTAAATAAACAGTTGTAAAGGTATTTTCATCAAGTATAATTGAAAAAATAAAAATATGCATCACTTTATGAAAAAATAACATATTAAATAACTATTAGATTACTTTTTATTAACTATGAATCAGTCTAACTATTATATTAACTATTATTTAACTATATATTAATTTACGATAGATACTATTAGGGTCGTTTTAACTAAATATCTTTTTACACTAATTATAAATGATGAGGGTTACATGTTATCTCAAAGTGTTTTATACATTTTGTAAATTCGTTCAAACCATTTGTTAATTCAAAATCTTATTTACTGTATAAATAGTTTAAAACGAGATAAATACTAAAAATTCCTAAAGGGTTCCAAGATAAGTTGCAATTACTTTCAACCGCACCATTTACTAATTATATCCTTAATTAAATATATTTATTTGTATGTAATGTTTAAAATGTATATAAAAATTATCAGAAAGAATTAATTGTATACTATGCACATTAAAAATATCCACATATTGAACATCATGTTCATAAATGGTCTGCACTGAAAACTCATATACAGTACATGTACTGTATTATTAGAGCTTATACAAAATAAATGTATTCTAATATTGTTAATTCTATACAAATCCATGCATTGATTTAAGTATCAATGACTTCATGGCTTTCTTAACTATTAAATTGTACTACTGTATAAGAAACACACAATTTTATTAGCACTAGAAATACAATATCAATACATATTCTAGTGTTTGAAAAGTATTTATGATCAGGGTGGTAAGGATAATATATTTTATTACAAATATAAAATCTTAATTTTTCTTGAGCATTTTGTTAATTTTTGATTATGTTAAATATATTTGATTATGTTAAATTATCTTACTGAAAGTAATCGCACCTTTATTTTGTTAGAATAAAGTATCATTTATATATGAATATACATACCATACATTTTCCATTTACACAAACATCGTAAGAATCTGGTGAACAGGGTGTCCCATCTATCACTTTTGGCTTTAATAAATAATAAGCACCCGTTCCCACAACATTGCAGTATAGTTTACAATAATCTGCTTTAACTAATTAAATTGAATGACAAAATCACTATTTCATAATAAAGATTAATTAAATAATGAATTAGCATACAATGAGGTTATACTGTAGTATAGTACTGTACATTACAGTTAATCTAGTACAGGTAGTTATTTAGTTTAGCTATCATATCATGACTGTGTAACTGGTACTGACTCGTGAGTGTACAGTAAAATACAAAATGTTAGGTCTAAAATAATAGTTTCCATTATGTTAAAATTATCAATGATTTCCATATTAAAAAACTCTGATTATACTTACTAGAAGTGTAGTGTGACGTCCACTTGACATTTGCGAGCAATCCGTTTATATTGAATGTCTGTCCGTTATATGACAAACATTGCTCTTCACGGAAATCATTTGAATTGTCCTCACATTCCTCTATATTACAGGAACGGTACCGAATTCGCTTCCCCGTGCAATACTTGCCACCAAATTCAGGTCTATTCTCATAAATGTTTTACATTTAATGAATATATTTCCCACAAACCTTTGTAGGGATGCAAACAATTGACATTTAATAAATTATTGTAAACTTAATAAGGTTTGGCACATCAATTAAAGCGAATAATTCAATCTTTCAAAGCGATATGTATTTTACAAAAATCTACTGACCAAACACTAACCCATTTAAATAACAAGTTATACAGTTATGCTTAACAAATACCATTTATGCTTAGATTCCTGTATTTTAAGAATTCATGCAAAAAACTGAATAAATTTGAAATAATCTAATCGTTCTAATCATGTCTTACAATTATAATAACCAATTAATATATAGATATTATATAATAATAATAATAATAAAAGAAATGTGAAAAAGTCATACTTTGGATGATTGCAGTCGCGGCTAGACTTCTGTATACCTCCACCACAACTGCGGGAACACTCTTGAAATGGATTCCATGGACCCCATTGGCCATCGACTGGATGTGACTCTAGTTGTCGGACTGTAGTGACACAATCGCCGCGTTGACACCATTTGTTTTGAGCACAGGGTGTGCCGTCAGCCCATGGCATATGTTGGGTGCGACACCCGCCCCCCTCTGAACTGATTGTACACCAGAGACGCTTACAGACAGGCATATAGGGGCAGATGCGTGATGTGGGCCCAAACACCAGTTGACACTGGAGGTCCATATCAAAGAGCTGACCCGGCTGTCGTAACTCCATCAGTGAAAAGTGATCGTCACTTCGCCACAGTATGTCATTGAGTAGGTTATGCGATGGCTTGTCCAGCAAACAGTCACCATTGCCGTCACTAAACCAATAGTTCAACCATTTCTTAGACAATTCACAATTCATATGAAAACTATACTGTAAGTACAGTACTGTGATCATAGATCTTTGCATTATATCAATACTAGTACAGTACTGGGCAATTAGAATAACGCCATAATGTTAATATATTAATATGCTGTCATTTACTATCCAATCATTCTAACATTCATAACTAACTAATCACAGTTATATCATACAGATATAATTAATTTATTATTATTTTTCCATTTTAAAAGACGTGTTCTTTCTCTATAATATCCATAAAACACTTATTGTATTTGTTATACAGTAATAAGTGACCCCGAATAATGTTTTAGAATTGGTCGATTTTATGTAGAATATTCCCAAGAAAATAAATAACATTTAATTAAGACAGAGTTTTCTATACTATACTTTGTATATTATTAAGCTTCAGATTTTAACAATTATTGATAAACCAAATAAACTAAGTTTCAAACATTATTGATAAACCATTAAACCTTATACAGTATAACTCTTGGATAAAATATATTTCACTTATTCCTTAAACAGTTTTACTATTTCTAAACAAATGATTCAAAAATTTTAAACCTACTCAAAAAATTCTGTGATGTAATGTCTGGAACAGGCTGACCAGGACCAGGGATGGCTGGTATAGTCCAACATACGAGCCATAATGAATTGCTTGTTTTCTTCCGAGTATTCGCGGTATTTAACACATTTGTCGTCGTCGTCGTGGGGTATACTTAAGCTTAATAAACAAAATCACATTTCATTTCTATTATGAGAGAGAGAGAGAGAGAGAGAGAGAGAGAGAGAGAGAGCTCACATGTGTCCTAATTCATGAGCTATGGTAAAAGCAGCACTAAGTCCATTGTCTTCGATGACGGCACAACTAGCCCTTCCCTCACATATCTGTCCGGATTGTGCTAAGCCTAACGTATCACAAGTGTTTGGCAGTCGACATAAGTCCTCACGAGTGAGCAGAATGGCGGTGTCGTAGTGTAGAGGATCGCT